CTAGATTTGAAAGCTGCCACCTATTGTTGAAGCGCGGTCGATCGTGTTTTCATCCGAAGGTGAAACTTCATGCAACTGAAATAAATCCATTTAATTAGAAAACATTCCAGAGTGACATTTATGTTGCTTTTGATGTTGTTTTGATTACATTTAAAAAAAAGAATATGTAGATTTCAACAGTTTTATCAATTTAATTCATTAATACTGATAATTATATCAGTTTATCTGTTCTTATATATTTCATATAATGAGATACTGAAATAACATTTCTCAGGAATACTGCAAAAAAAAAGTATCTCACGTCACAGTTGTTTTGCGATAGTTCTTGTAAAATTTTAAATTTCATAGAATTTGTCTTTTTTTTTTTAAAATTATGGACAATAAGGGGTTAAAATGTAGTAGCAGCATAGTAAAACACGGTAGCATTCAGAGGTTTGACATTTTTGCACTTTCACTCATTAATGAGAAGTTAATGATACAAATACAATATGGTGTTCGTTGAAAAATATGAAGTTATGACTGTTTAATAAGCTCGGGTCAAAAATGACCCGGGAAGAGTCTAATGCGATTTAAGGGTTAAAGAGGCTTTTCCAGCAGTCAGAGATGTACATTTATCCGTCTGTCTCTCAGAGCGAGGTAGTCTGCAGTTTCTCTCAGCTGAGGTGCAGGAAAACTGTAGTTCAGGGATTTGAGCGACAGGAAGTGGCTGCTGCGACCTGGACGCACAGGAAGTGCTTGAGTCCGTCACGTCTGTCTGTCATGGTACCTCAGTAATGTGTCAGTCATTTCACAGAGCAAGCTGGTTTCCAGGTTCTCAGTGCTCTGCGTTGATCTCTTGCAGCTGGAGAACGCCAAGCAGGCGGCGGTGAAGAACAGCGACTTCGCCTCGTCGACGAGAGAAGAGCTGGCGGGAACTAAACTCAGACTGGAGTCTCAGTCGCTGCAGATCAACAACCTGCAGAAACAGGTAATGATCCTATAGCTGAAAAGAGGTTTTTAGTTCAGATTTGGTCATTTTAAGCTCATCTACACTAATGTTCAAAATACTTTTTTTCCCCAGCAAGGATGTTGTAAATTGATCAAAAGTGACAGTAAAGACATGGATATAATTTCTTCATGAAAAATCTATTTTTTATTTATTATTTATAACTAATGTTCAAAAGTTCAGATTCAGTAATTTAATTAAGAAATTATTACTTTTATTCAGTAAGGATGCATAACATTTTTCAAAAGTGGCAAAGGCATTATTATTTATTCATGAAAAATATAAATGTTAGTGGATATTGAGTAATTTTTAAATATATATATA